TTTTTGACCAAATCTGCACAGAAATTGGCAGCTAAAATTTCAATTTACTTGTCAGCTCCTGGCATTTATTTTCCCCTTTTCCTACCAACTCCAAGCAAAGGCAGGCCCAACAGACACCTCCTTTCATTTCTGCTCTTAACTGCTATGGCCACTGAAGTTGTATCACCAAATCCTTAGATGAAGGGGTAGCAGTGGACACAGTCTTCCTGGACTTTCGGAAGGCCTTTGACACTGTCTCTCACCTTGTTCTCATTAAGAAACCGGGGGACTACGGTGTCGGCACCCACACAGTCAATTGGGTCGCCAACTGGCTGGAGGGCCGCACCCAGAGAGTGGTGGTGGATGGGTCATTTTCGACCTGGAGGGATGTGGCAGTGGGGTTCCACAGGGCTCGGTCCTCGGGCTCACACTGTTCAACATCTTCATCAGCGACTTGGACAAGGGGGTAAGAAGCACCCTGTTCAAATTTGCTGATGGCACTAAGATGTCAGGGGATGTGGGCATGCTAGAAGGGAGGAACAGGCTGCAATTGGACCTAGACAGGTTACAGGGGTGGGCAGATGAGAATAGGATGGAATTCAACACCGACAAGTGCAAAGTGATGCACCTGGGGAGGAACAACCGGCACCATACCTACAGGTTGGGGAACTCCATTCTTGTCAGTACAGAGATGGAAAAGGATCTTGGAGTCTTCATCGACTCCAAGATGAACATGGGCCAGCAGTGTGGGGATGCAGTCAGGACGATCAACCCTATCTCATCATGCATCCACAGATGCATCTCAAGCAGGTCCAAGGAGGTGAACCTCCCCCTCTATGCGGCACTGGTCAGGCCGAAGCTGGAGTACTGTGTCCCGTTCTGGGCGCCACACTTCAAGAGGGATGTGGACAACTTGGAGAGGGTCCAGAGGAGGGTCACTCGCATGATCAGGGGGCAGCAGGGCAGGCCCTATGAGGAGAGGCTCAGGGACCTGAACCTGTTCAGCCTCCACAATAGAACGCTGAGC